CTGTGAGTAAATTAAATCTATGGGAGACTAAAGTTAGTGACTAACACTAATTTATTTGGAGATTTTGTAACTGCTACCCTCCCTTTGCCTAACACATTGAGTGTTAGTGTACTAAGTTCCTTACAGTTGTGTTTTTAATTTGAAATGAAACCTCATAAAACACAGGCTGTTTTTTTAATGGGTTTATTTTAATATGTCTGTTATCTGTCTATCATCACCTAAACTTGATTTAGTGTTTCTGGGGTCCACTTACTAATTTTGGTTAGATTAATAATTTTCCTTCATTTTGAGTAACTGAAATAACTACAGATCTTCTGCCATGATAGTTGCCCCAGTTTCTGAATTATTAACAACTGTACTGTAATACAGAATCAAATACATCCTTTTCAGCATTTTGCAGTTAACTCTTTGCTATTGATGATATTTAGTATCATGAAATAAAACAATTTAATTCAATATTTTCCCTGGTTAGATTTTGATCAGATTTTGATCTATGACTGACTGTGTCCTTATTTTTGTTTGCTTGCTTCAGGAGGCATTTTTCTCTTACTTTGGGCTTTGAAAGAAATATTTTCTATTATCTGGAGCAAGAACTGGATCATCACTAGTAGCAGTTGTTCTATTCTATTTTCTTTTTTACACGGTGCCTGATATGACTTTTGATTATTGTTTATGCAGCCCATTCCAATGTCAAATCACCCTTTATATGAGTAAATTCTTCCTGATATCCTAATTCTTCCTAATATTCTTATTCTCCCTTCTCTGCTTTTTTAGCTATGTTGATTTGTCTTGAGGATTTGTCCATGATTCACAGTGGGGAGAAAAAAGCTGGTGCCAGCCATGAATGCATTCCAGGTCTTTATTATAGGATTCAGGAGTTTAGTAAATACCAGAGTTGAAGTTAGTGCAAAGAGCTGTGCATCCACCAGGCATATCTGGGTAATGCTATGATAATTGCATGATCAGGATCTGTATAATGAAATATTGTATAGCATTGTAAGATGGTTTTTGTATAATAGTAAAATAGTTCCTATGATGCTTTGCATCACGCAGACATGTGCTGGAAAGAATATCTGCAATTTTAAATTTTAGCAGTGTAAATATAATACAGTTGAAAGTAGAAAATGTACACAGAGGAAAAGGGAAATGCTAGTAGTCAGGGAACATTCATAATTTAGGGATCCAACTCCTGTAACTAAATCAGAAGACTGATTTCTTTAGGTAATTTCCACAGTGTATCAGAGACTCCTTCACAGGATATTTTGTAGCATTTCAGGAGTTCCTTCAACCAAATCTCTCTCAAGGAGCCTCTCCCTGTTTACTGTAGCATAGGATCTGTCTCCTACATCCCACTCTTTCTTACTTTTGACATTTGAAAACAGGTGATGTGTATATAACTACTTATCACACATTTTGCTCATAGGGGCTGTAGGGGCATGTTAGTAAGCTGAATTTCAGAGAAAGCTTTGAACAACAGTAATGCAGTATGTTTTTAGATATTTAAGGGAAATTCCATAAAGTGTAAGGTATAAGACAGAAAAAGGCACAAAAAGTTTGTTTGAAAATACACTATGTGGGTGAGAGGAGCTGGAAACTGGACTCCCGATACCGAATGGCAGGTGGGAGACAGGAAGGAAAGAGATACAAGAAGCATCCCTGAAATTTATTTTTTTTATCAGTAAGAAGTGGAGGGTTTTTAAAGTGCTTTATCCAAAAACAGCATAACAATCAGACAGTATGATCTGTGTTTTGAGCTTTACCTTTTATGAAAATTGGCCCCGTTTCAAACATGAGCAAAACACAGCTGTCTTCCTGATGAAGATTAAGGAGCAATAGGTGTGGTGGTGATCCGCAAGGATGGACCTTGCAAGTGGATACAAGTGGTAGATGCTGCAGAAGTAGCCAGGGAGAGCTGTGGAGATAGTGATGTGTTCTCCAAGTGATTGACTAAGAAAAGGGTCTTTGCAGCAGTTCTCTGAGTGAATGTGTATGATATGAGGCTGTGTTTGTCAAAAGCAGAGAGAAAAAATGTTGCTGAATCAAAAAGCAGAGAGCAAAATCTTGCTGAATCAAAACATGATGATGATGATTAACTCGATTGAATACTTTAGCTGATTGGGAGGATTAAGAAAAATACTGTCTTGGAAATGTGGCATTGACAGTATCTGCAAATTATGAATATGAATCTTGGGATTTGGAATATCTTTGGGATATAAGGTGATGCTAGAGTTACATGTCTGAGCAATAGGCAGGATGATGGTGTAGCTGTGCAGCTTTGTGTGTGTCACCAACAATTAAGTCATTCATAGGAAAAACTGTAAAATCTGTCCTCAAATATAATTGTTTTATTTATTATTTGACATTCTTCACTCCTACACCTGCTTCCCACATAATATTTCTTAGAATATTTCTTTACCTGCCACAAAGGACTGGACATTAATTGTTGAGTTTGATTTGTAATGCCACAGTGGGGTGCCTAGTATGAAAAGATGTATTTTGCATTTGCTGGGAAGGCACTGCTCCTTTCATTTGGTTTATAGTAATGGTGAACACAGATGCAGTAATTTCCTTACAATTAAATTATGAAGTCAAGTCTTCTAATAACAATACTCCATAGTATTTCAGTAATAATTAATCGATTCTGTTCCTTATTCTGATTCTGCCAGATGATGCAAGAATTCCCCCCAGGAAGAGGAAGCTTTTAGTTTGCTTGAGAATTTTATAGCCAGGTCCCATACCAGCCACAGTTATTTTTTCCTTCCCCCTTCAGCATGTACCGGAACTCACAGGCTGAGAAAGGACAGAGAAAATACATCTGCTCTTGGCTAACTTTCCAGTGGTATGTAGTTGTATGGACATGGTAGCAAACAAGTGTGAGTTAGAATTGCTTCTAGGCTTCTCTGACTTAAACCAGAGATGAGACAGCTTTAGTATCAAGGAGGCATAACCTAAAGAAAAAACCCAAACAGCTTTTTTGTTGTTCTTGTTTTTAAATTAATTTCTGCCCAGTGTGAAAATTTAAACTGTTAATGTATGTTTGCAAGAGCAATAAGAAAGGTTGTCTTAGATTTTGAGTAGTTAGATGTCCAGATTAAAAAGATAAAGCTTTAAGGAAAAGAAATTAAAACCTGCCTTTCTTTGGAAACATAACTCTGGCAAGGAGTTTGATATTAATGGCCCATCAATAGTTTCAGCTTGTTCAGAGAAAGAGCAGTGATATCCAGGAAAGGCCGGAGATTACTCTCTGCTTGCTAAAAGTTTGTGAAATCATAAATTAATTGAGCAAACGTACTCCATGGGCACACTGGGTCCTGGGACTGGGACCTCTGCCTGCATAAGGCTGAGCCCATCCAGCTGCATCTTCCCCCTAGGTCCCTGTGTGGCTACAGAGTGACTCCAGGTTTGAGGCTGTAATTCTCTGGAGACAAAACCAAAATATGACACTTTATTTGAAGTCCAGTGTTGTAGATTCTTTACTATGTGCCAGTTTCAGACATGCATGTGGGATATAACTGGGAATTCAATATTAAAATGGGAGTGAAAATTTTGTTATCTGTCCTGAGCTAACACCAATTCTAAAAAGACAAACTTTTTTTTCTTCACAAATTTTGGAAACTTCATCTGCCTTGCATATCTGCGCATTTACTTATATTTAAATGGTCTAAGTCAGTGTGTCATCTTGGCAAAAAGGGCTTCTTAATGTCCAGGTGCATGGAAAATATTGTATATGCTATACTACTATTTTTTTCCTATCTAGAAATAATAGCAGTTTGAGTCTTTATCTCTCCAGGAGTGCTATAGGCAAATCAATGTCTCAGTGAATTTAAGATATTCATATCCTCGTGTATCTGGAGTTAATTTTTAAATTTACTAATTTTTTAATGTCAAGTTCTTGCTGCATCTTAAGCCATCCTGTAGGAGATAGAAAAGTAATCAGAGATTGCTGGGTGTCTTGAACATTTTTTTGGCTAGAAGGTGTATTTAAATTGATTTGTCAGGTTACAGGCTGATCTCTGAAGGTGTAACTCTGCTCTAGTAATAGGAAAAATGGTGTCATACTCCTGGACAATTCATTCTGTCTTTGGTCTGGCTGCCTCAAAGAGGTGATGCTAGTGAAGGTCCAAGGTGCAGTGATGACATTTACAAGCATGGTGAATTGGCCATTATGGCCTCCCAAGCTGAGAGATAGCCTTAGCTAGAGAGGCAGCATGGACCCTTCCTGGGGTGGGTGGTAAGTGCTGGTGTAGAAGTTTGGATGACTCAGCTCCCCATGGTGTAGCCTGTGATTCCATGTGCTTGTGCCACCATAAATCTGATATTCCTGCTTTGTCTTCACTGCTTCTGTCACACACGCCTGTTATGTTAAAGCCTGTATTCCAGTGGGCAAACCTCATTATGGGGAAGGCTTTCTTTTGCTAGTCTCTTTTCTCATTTGCAGTTGTATGATGCTACTGTGCGGTTGTACTGAAACCTTGTGGAGACACACTGCCAAGCTAGAACTTCTCACAACCTTCAGATAGTCATAGCAATGACAGTTCTTATATAAATATTGTTTACTTTCTGTCAGTTTTTAAAATATGGGCAAATTATCTCATTTTAGCTTTGGCCATCATGTTACTAAGAGGCTGAAAATCTACATGAAGAGCTGATGAAGATAAATACATTTATTGATTTTAGACCACTCTCTTTTATTAAAAATAATAAACCAAATTACATATAACAAGGAAAAAGCAGCAGCACACAGGAGGTGAGCAAACACACTGCAGGTACTTATATTTGCCTGAAGGGGAATGTGCTGTGATCAATTAATGCTCTATAAAGCTCTTGGTGTAAGATATCACTGTTGCCTTTGCTGTAGCTGCAGCATTTTTAGGTAAAAATAGAGATCTTGTCATGGTCTAGGCACTCAGATTATTTCTCTCTGATTAGTTTGGTGTCTCTTTAATCAGAGCTGTGTGCTGTGTTACCTGATTTCATTCTTTTTCTCTTTACATATTTAGGTCCTGGTCCTGCAACTGGATTTATTTAAATGTACCTCGATAGCCTGGGGGCCTGATGAAGTTCATGGGACTCTGGCGACTGCAGATTCTCACTCTGAAGATCTGATTGTAGGCCTGAACCTAAATTTCTATTTCGTTCTCCTGTCTATTTCCTCCTTAAATGATGAAAATTATCCTTTAAAATGGTGTTGTCTTTGAGTCTCATGTACATCCACTTTAGTAGTGTTCCAACACTGTGTTCCTGTGATGTTGTCAGACATTGTTAAATTATTTCTGTTCTGTTGAGTGCCTAAACCTCATGATTTCTCTGATTATTGTGTTAGATCTTTCTGTTTAGTGTCTTTCTACCTAAAATGAAGGAGATCATCACCTCCACCACCTTGTGTTTTCAATCATTGTGGTATTTCTCTTAACTCAGATTTTTAAGTCAGAGTAATTGTTGAAACTGTTCAGGTTGTTTTTAAAGATATAGGTAGATTTGTTTCTTGCTGGACACAAAGTATAATATTTTATTTTGCAAACTTGGTAGGCTAGTATTACTGAAAGCTTTCAATATGATGATACTCTGATGTAATAAAATAAGTAGGAAAAGACCCTTTTACTAGCTCTCCTGTTGCTTTTCTATTCCTGTGGCTGTGGTTACACAACATCAGAGTGTTGTGCAAAAAAAAGTGAAGATATTTTTATTTTTTGTGAGTCAGTGTATACCTTTTGACAATAAGCACTGTTCTCTCTCCTATTCCATGTTGCAGTTTCACTGAATAATATGCCCTGGTAGAACCTATAGAAAGGACTCTGAAAATCACATGTAGAGTGTGATCACAAATAGAGTGTAAAAGGAAAAATAGATGTGTTCTGTTTTTATACATGTTGGTATATAAGTTGTATATATTTTTAAAGCAAGTATGTAGCAGTGTATGATAATTCATATATTAAAAGAGCCAAAACTTCCTTTCTATATAGAGAATCAGAAAAGCTTGTTTGGTTTTTGTAGGCTTATTACAATGATATTAAGGAGCTTCACAGTATTTGATGATTTTTTTGTGTATTCCCAGAACAGAAAAGCACTGTTGTCCTGTTAAATCAAGGAGAAAACTGAGCTACTTGTTTAGTCAGTAGTAAAGTCAATGATATTAAATGGATTCTCCTGCCTTTTAACCTTGTGCCTCCAGCTCCATTTTTCCCTCAAGACCCAAACATTCCATTACCATCATCTGCTTTGCATTTCTACATGAAAGGCCCAAGGTGTTTCTGTTTGGACTCCCAGAAAATGAGGAAGACAAGGTTGGTTGGCCATCTGCCAGGGTGCAAGGTCTGACTCGCTCCTTGCTCACAGGGGCTGCTGGTGAAGGCAGAGGCAGAACTGAGTGTTCTGTGTGGCATTCAACTGCCTTAACCACATGCCCATCGCTCTCTTCCTGAGTCGTCTGTCTTGTTCTCAGCATAACTCCTAAAGACAACACATATAACAACCAACAAATAATCTAATTTGATGCACAGCCCTGATTCACTTCCCAAGCCGTGTCCTGCTCACACGGAGTGGCCACAGTCCCATGGAAAAATTCAGCATGGTGCACAAGGCCAAAGAGTAAGGCTGTTAAGTGTCTTTAAACTTTTCAATGAAGCAGTGTTCTTTGAAGGTCACTTATTATAGCCATACCTCAACATATTTTTAACAAGGCACAAGAGAAAAATGGAAGCTTTTAGAACTGGTTGTAACCAATTCCCTGTCTAGCCTGTGAACGTGAATGTCCAGCTCAGTGAAACACAGACCATCAGCCGATGGGAGGAGGTTGGCCATGTCCAGGGAGGAAGGGAAGGAAGAAGAATGGGAGCTTAACACCATGGGTATATCCAATTTGCTTCCAAGTCTCAGGGACTATTTGTGGAGTGTTGACCCCAGCTTTTTAGCTTTTGCTTTCTCTTCAGTATTCCCACACCCAAAAATTAGCTCCTCCAGAGCTTCTCAGTGCAATAGATATTGGGGGTGTTGCTGTAGTCTGCTAATAATTTAGATGAAGAAACAGAAATCAAAGGTGGGCTTTTCTGCTGCATTTTCCTTTTGAAATATAAGAGGAGATGCTCCCAGTTCTCTCCACAATGAATTTCAGGGGCTATCCTTCTGATCCTTGATCTCACAAACAGATGGCAAAAACTTTAATAGAAAATTTTGCTCTTGGCTTATTACCCCTTTATCTTCTTCCTGGTCAAATTGTAGTGGCCTGGTCAAATTGTAGTAAGCCTGTAGCTTACTGTTTGTGAGCTACCAAGGATGGTGTGTAGGCTCCAGTGTCAGAGCAATTGTGTTGAGAACACCAGCTCATCTTGTTATCTTTTATGTTAGAATTTGGTAGCATAATAAGTTTTTTTTTCAGAGAAACCTTGCCAGACCATGGTCTGAGTTTCAGTTTTTGGTAAAAACCGCCTTAACCAAGGAAGGGGCCTGAAAATTGGGCAACAAACCCAAAGAATTGCCTTGAAGAAAAAAAAAACCCAAAACTTGCCTTTGCAAGGTTTTCCCCGAAAAAAGCAAGCCTTTAACCCAAAGAACGCAACAAAGTCCCGGAAAAAAAACGGGGGGGAAAAACGGTAAGAAAAAATTGGTCAAACCAATCAACGAAAATCAAAAAAAACAAAAAAACTGCAAAAAAAAATCAACGGCAATTTGGTGCAAAAAAAAAAAGAAAAAACCGAATTTAAGAACTTTTTTTTTAAAATAAGGATCAATCTTCAACATTTCATAGCTGTAGAGAAATGGTGGGAATGGAACAAAACAGTCTTGATATACAGAATCACCTTAAGTCTGTATCTCAACTCAACACTTTGTATCATGAAACCATGCCCTGAAACTGCTGCCTGTCATATCAGATAATATTATCACTGATTTACTATGTTACTTCATCTTCTTAGCTTTTTGTAACCTTTTGGTAGGATCACAATTTTTTTCTGTGTTTTGGGTGTCTTATTTTGGTTTGGGGTTGGGTTTTTTTACCAGCACCTAACAGAGCCCCGACCCATTATTTGGCTTCCAGGTACTCGGATAATACAAGTAGTAATCATGCCTGCTGCTAAAAATTTTCTACATTATTTCATTTGTATTTGTTTGCCTTCAGCTTCTAGTCATTGATTCTTGTTATGCCTTCTCTGATGGATTAAATAACTCTTTAGGACTCACTATTTTCTCCCCAGGAAGGTGCTTTTACCCTGTAATCATGTTATTTCTCAATATTACTTTTGTTGTTGTTTGTTTGTTTTAAGAAAAAGCTAAACAGGTTGTGCTCTTTAGGGTTCTCATTATTTTTTCACATTCCTGGATGATTTTTGTGGTTCTTTTCTATCCATAAAACTATGTGTTAGTAGTCACATACACAGAAGTAAAATTACTCCTCTAGTTCCTCTTGTGTTAGTATGGTTAGAAATTGATGTTATTGCAATGTCAGATTAAAAAAACCCTACCTAATATGACTTCTACACACCTGAGTGTAGTTTTTAGAGGACAGAAAATGATGAGGGATTTAAAAATATTTAAATATTTTTAAGTGATCCACAAATCAGCAAGAGTGAGTGTGCAGGAGGGATGCCAAAAGTATTTCTGTTGAGGTTTTTAAGGAGCTAGAAGTGAAAATAAAAATAATAATTTTAATTGTAAAGCAACAGTAATACATCAAAACTTAAGTGCTCTGTTTAGCATAGTAATACATAGTTGCAGAAATTTTGTAGGATTGAATGAAAAGTGTTTGTTATTAACACACTGTTTTGGGTCACTAGAAATAGAGACTGTAAGTGTATGTGAATATACATATCCCTTACATCCATTTAATCCTATAAGTAAGTAGCCACTTGCTTATATTTGTAAACCCAAGAACAGGTATGTGATCTGTTATGTTGAAATAGAAGAAATAACATAGTATTAAGAATTTCTTTTTTATAAAGATTGTCACTATTAAGTAATATAAAAGTTCAAACAATCAATATCCAGAGCTTCAGAGAGACTCTTGAAAGTTTTACTGCTTCAATATTTCTTTCCAAAGGGGTGGCTATTTATTTTGATTTGCATCCATACTTTAGGACAAGGTTAAGTTAAATTTACATGAACAAGACTAATCAGATGCCTGTCTAGTCAAAACATCTCTGTCTACTCCATGGCTTTCATGCATATCATGCATATAAGCATCTGAATTGTATCTGCACTCCCAGCTCCACACTTATCCCTCCTGGAAACCATCAGATTTTCATTAAATTCAACTTTAGACTGTTTAAACTCTCAGTGCTGCACATTAGTTTGATGCAAGTTTGTCTAATGTTGTGTCTGACAAAATTTTGAGGCCACCACATTGACTTTCTGTCCAAACTGACTTGAATTTTGACTTTGAAAAGAATGCGTCTTTCCCTTGTGGCAGCATTCCCTCTATGAAATTTGGGGCATATTCCACAAGGGTCTTTGTTGGTTTCAGCAAAATGAAAGTTCATGGAAACATGGTAAATGAGGAAGAAATTAGGTTTAAAATAATGCAAAAGACTTAGAATCCTCTAAAACTCATGGCAAATAATTAAAGGCAAACAAGAACTGAATAGAAAGCCAAATGGCCTCTAATTAAGACAGTACTAAGCTAAACAGATTTAGACTATAAATTTGTGTGTTAATGGAAAAGTTATTACTAAGATTTTGGTAACACTGGGTGATTTGGGGTAGAAGCTGTCACTCTGCAATGATGAGCTCACAGAGGCCTTTTCAAAACAACCATTTGCTGTTGGAAAAGGCAAGAGAAGTGGGAAGTCTCTTGAACACTTTTTGGTATCACAGGCTTAGTCAATGTAAAGAATGTGATTTCTTACATCCTCGGTTGCCTCAGTTTCTTCTGCTGAGTCTCAGAAATCTTGGAATAGAACCATTAAATAGAAAGAGATGACATCACTGGGAAAGACTATCGTAGAAGAAACAGGATGATTATGATAGAAGCTGGAGACAGTCTCCATGAGAATACTAGCATGACTTCTTTTCTCTGAACAGCCAGTTAACAGGTGATCCTCTTTCCAGTAATAAATTGCTATGGCTGCATGTAATGGTGGGTTTTTGACCAATGCAGCACCCAGTGCAATACATACTGGAAAACTGTTTTGGGAATGGGGGGAGAGGAGTCTGGCTAGAAAATTACTTTCCCATTAAATAATGCTACTGATGACTATTTGGTGAGCTGATACAGCTGCCAGAATGCATTTTTCAGCTTATCTTTGCACAGGAGTGTGGACAAAAGATGACAGAAAGGAGAGAGATGTAGAAAGGATAAAAAATTTTTGAGGCTGCTTCTGCTCTTCCAGGATATGTTCTTTGCCTTCCCTAGTGAGTGATATACGCTGATAACTTGTAGTACTTGTAATAATCCTTGAGCATCATATCTCCATGGGATGTTAGCAGGTTTATGAAGTTTCTGAGTAAGTGGACAACTCCTCCAAGGAATGAGAAACACTCCATTGCATTGTAAGGGATGAGACAGACACTACACAGTGACACCCATGTACACTTGGCTATATTCAGCAAAAGGGTAAGACTGTCCTGTCAAACTATGTAAGTTCCCCTTTTGAAGCTGTGAGCAAATGGTTGTTTCCTCCAGCAGTTCCTGTAACGGCTTGTATGCAGTCAACATTCACAGTAGCTCCAGAGTAGTTACTAGATAGACTGATGTGTGCTGCATCCTGTTTCTTTGGAATCAGCATCCCATAAATTCACATTATTTTCTTGGTTTGTAGAAATAAGACTGTGCTAGCATTTCTAGTATTAGGGACTGTGTTGGCATTAAGGTGTCATCTTCATATCCAGAAGCAGATGGTTTAGTCTGTGTTGCAGTCCTGTATAAAGGATCAGAGTACACATCAGGTGATGTTTATATATTGTGTATTTTCAGAAAACATGTAGATAAGGAAACAGGAGCTCTGTCCCAGTACTATACGTAGCTCTAGGAATCTTTCCAGTTTGACATGGAGCACTGAGATCTATCTAAAGGAGTCCTGGCTGTGAGAGAGCATGTCCTGTTGAATCTTCTGGGCTGGATAAAATAGTAAGGAAAGGCATCTCAGGTATTTTTCATCACTTAGGCTTGGTTGGATTCTGTCTGTTCAGGTGTAGAAGTCAAACAGTGGTGTCAATATGAGAAGCTTCCCTGCCTCTAGACTGGAGTGAGGGAGACCAAGTGCTGACACCTTTAGAGCAGTGTCTGTGAAGATGGACAGCAGCATTTTGGGTTTATTAGAAGCAGCTGATAACTCTTATCTCAGTGGTAGGCTTGGTCTGGAGATTTTGGAGGGGGCTGAATATTTGATGCCATGTTTCCAGAAAGTTGGAGAGATAAGTGGATATTGCACTGCATGTTGTGTTCTCAGCAAAGCAAGCATCTCAGCAGGTCAGCGATTTCAGAAATAGTGCAGTCCTGAAAGAACATTTTTTGAACTCCTTTTTGCTGTTGAAGCTGAACACAGTTCCATCTGTCTGAAACTGTACATTGAGAGCTTCACAGAGGCACTTAAAGAAGTTATGTACTTATGCATAAGGAATAAGATGCTGAAGGAATCATATTTCATAAGAGTAAACCTATTAATCTTACCATAAAATGGTTACTTTCTATACAAAAGTTCACTTTAAAAAATGTTAATGGTATACTGATCATCTGAGGAAAAGTCCATACTGATGTATCTTCACCATCTTTCTGAGCTGAACAGTGTGGGTATATGCTTGTGCTATGAAAATCTGTTTACTTGGATACTTTGCTATGCATCTGCTAATTCCACAAAAAGTGTACAAATTTTCATGCCACCTATTTTGTGGATAAAAGCACTGTGTAAGTACAGACCCTGGATTAAGAATGTATCAGCTCTAGAAACGATGGAATTGTCTTCAGGGCTCACATGTCAACAAAGATCAGCTGGTTCACACGTGAAGCTTGGTGAGGAAAACACTGCAGCAGCACTGGTGCCATCCCTGCTCCCTTCCTGCCTTTCCCAGACTGCTGCCTTTAGTCAGCCAAGGTTACTGTGCTTGTCTGACACTGCTCCACAGTTAGCTTTTACACACCTGGGTCAGCCAAGCACTCATCCATGGGGAGTGGACAAAAAGCCACTTGAAACCCTGCTGTGATAGAAGAGGGACAGCAGCCTATCCAGATTACTTGATAAAATGTGAGCAAATCCAGAGAGAAATGTATAGCAAATCAGGTTCCATACATTGGTAGTTTGTACACATACTGATTCTCATTCCTTTGAACAGAGTCTTTCTCTTCCAGAAATGATTTTAAGGAAATATTTAAAGTGTATCTCCTGAAAATTTCAAATAAGACAACAGAGGAAAAGATTGACTGTAAGTCTGCATCTAATAAGCAACTGAGAATTGTGTTCATCTGGGCTGTGCACAGGCTGACACAGCAGCCTTAGGAAAAGGGCAAATATGGCCAGGGCTTTCTTTTAAATACACTGCAAAAACCCTGCCTGCTGCAGGGATGGAAGTGTTCAAAAGCAACAGTGACAATCTACATTACCAGCAGCTTCATCAGAAGTTCATGTGCCCAGGTGCCCTGTCTCCACAGATGTTTTGCTCTCATTTTGAGCTGAAAATGTAACATTTTGTTGAAAAAGGCTTTCAGATCTTGTTAAAAATAGCCTAATAGTAGCTTTGGATTTGACTGACAAGCTAGTTGTTACTGTGCCATTTTCACTGTAATAGTCTAGTAATTTTGACCCAAAGAAACAATGATCTCATTCCTTGGGAGGGAGGACAGAGTGACAAAATCTGGAGGTCCTGTGACGACACTGAATCTCTTTGTTGTCAAAGCAAGCTATGAAATCATCTGCTTTCCTGCCAAATCCCACTGGGGAGTAAGCAGTGTCCTTCACAGTACACACATTTTGCAGAAGATGAGGGCACAGAAGAACCATGTTCCTGCCCCACAGGAGGTGTTCTGCCCCACACCCTGTGACTTCTGGAATTGATGCGAGTGTGTTTTCCCACCTCTGTCAACAACCACAGCACTAAAGCGGTCAGAAGCTTTCTAAGGTTCTTTATATACTGTGACTTCATCAAAAATTCTGCTGGTGTAGCATCACCAATGTGTTTCAGTTATTTTGGGAATGGGGGAGAATGTGATCTCTGCATCTCTTTTCTCAGTCAGGCTCCACTGCCAACCAGGTGGTCTGTACTTGTTGGAATTCTCAATCTTTGTTTGTGTTTGCTAGAAGTCTTTGGTTGTGAGCTACATGGGGGATGAAAGGAAGTGAGAGGAAAATTTTAATAAAACTTTTTTTTGTCATTCATTTGGAACTTTTCTGTTCCTGCTGAGCACTACATTGTTAAGACGAACATTTCTGTATTTAGAGAGCCCTTCCTCTGTTACCTCTAAAGAAAACTGGAGAACAAAAGGATGCTTTAAAAAAATTGATAATGTGTAGCTGATGTTTCCATTCAAGTTCAGCTTGCCTTACATGGAAAAGGAGTTGAACCAAAAGGCTTCTTACAACCATTTCTGCTGGTTTCCAAATAAGTAGCTACAGTGATTATCCTAAAAACTGAAGTATTTGAAAAACACATTTCTAATAGAAATCCTAGTTTTACTATTTCTTTGCAATATGACAACAAATCTGTGTCCTTTTTCCCAAAGTATACCCTAGTTTGCAAAATAGCAAAATTACTAAACAGGGGTTTTGAAACTTCCTCTGCAGCTACATACTTTTTTTCCTGGAGCAGTTGTACTGGGCTGTTGTGACCCGAATATTCTGTGGGCAAAGCTTATGTGTAAGAAGTCAAAGGTGTTTTGTGTTATCCAAATGATCTCAGTGACTGCACCTGTCTAGTGGAGTGCAATTTAAAACAGATTTAAACTTCAATGAGGTTTGCAGAAGAAGGCATGTTTGCAAAGTATCAGAAGGGATGTGGCACAGCATGAACAAGAGAAAAAACATATACCGCTTCCATAAAAAACGCTACTGTCTACAGCTGATGAGCAAATTCTTTTGTATTTCTGCCATCAAGGATTGCAGAAGAAACCCACTGGAATATGCAAACCTGTACAGGCCTGAGCATATAACTGACAGAGATGAAGGAAAACCCTTACAGGAGTATGTCACGTAATCAAATTTTCCTCACTTGCCTTTTACTGAAGGTTCAGCTCTAGACAAGAGCAAGAACTAAAAGCATTACTTTGCTTTCCTCTGAGGTCTGGTTTTCACAGAATAAACCTTCAAGTTCTGTAGGTGCAAGGTATTAGCTTCTGCACATACAGAACTTTAGACAACATAAATGCTAATGATTTTTACAGTTTTCTTCTGTTCCATATAAAGGTTTTAACTTTAAATGCAAATCAGAAAAAAAACCCATGTCAAACCACAAACAAAAACCTTCCTTGAGACAGAAACACAAGTGTTCCTTATTATTCATGTATTTTTGCATGATTTCAGGTAGCAGAATCACTGTCTTCATACATCCACCAGCACTTCTTCAAAAATGTTGTTCAGAAGGATCTTTGCCTTCCATGATGCAAACAACTGCTATCCCTTGTGTGTCAGACCACAGACCCTTCCAAAACTACATGGGTAGATTTGGAGAGAGCATGATAATTAAGCAGTTATTGAAATCAGCTATTTCGACTTGAATATTTTTGAGCAATGTACACCTCTCTTCACTCAAGTTTCTGTTACTACAGCAAGTGCGCTGACACTGCAGCGGTTTTTTTTTTCAGCAGTGCTCCTCCCAGCGCTGTTTGCACTAATAAAGTAGTGTAAACAGCGAAGCTGTTGTTAAGGGGTATTTCTCCCTTTCGCTAGTCCTGTACAGCAGGCTCGTGCGATGCAAATGACAGTAAAAAAGCGGAGAGGAGCAGCAGCGAAGGACAGGTGAGTGTGGCTCAGCGCGTCCCTGCACCGAGACGCCCGGGACGACGCCGGGCCAGCGCTACATCACTGCTGAGAATTTGGGGGGAGCTGCCCGACCACTGTGGACTGTTCCTTGTCACCCAGGAGGCTATGGAGAAAGCCGGTATCTTTTAACTCTTCCTCATACAGGCGATGAAGCAATTTCTGGAAAAAGAAAGAAAAATCCAAAAACCCACGAACAAGAAAACAAAACAAACGTGCCTCAACCTCAGGGAGGGGGCAGAGCCGCGCACAGCGCCGTGGCAGCGGAGGGGAGTCCCGTGCGCTGGCTGGAACGGGCAAGAGGAGCCGAGACACGCGGGCTCGGCTGGGCTCCCCGCTGCGCTCCGGCTTCCGCGGCGGGGCGGCGCGGCGGCAGGGGCGGGGGGTGGCGGCGCCGCGCTCCTCACCGCAGGGCGGCCGCGGCGGTGCCCCCGGCGCGGCGGGGGCGGCCGCGGGGGCGGCGGGGCCCGCGGCCCGCGCCGGCGGCAGCTCAGCGCCGGGCAGCCGCCGCCGCTCTGCGGGCCCCGCCGCCGCCCGGCTCCCTGCGCTCACTTTTATATTTGCGCGCCCTTTCCCTGCTCGGTGACGTGTCCCGCCGCGCGCCCAACCCGCGGCGCGCTCTGGTCAGGACAATGGGAGCGCCTGGGCCAATCGGCGCGGCGCTCGGCTTGGCGGCGGCCAATGGGCGCGGGGCTGTGCAGAGAGTAATGTTACCAGCGCCGCGAGTGTGAGGAGGCTGCGTATCGATCCCGCGCTCAGCCATTGCGGTGCACCGGGCTGCACAGCGACCCAGCCAGCGCTGGGGCCGGGCGGGCGGCCGCGGGAGCGTCTCTGGGGCTCGGGGCCGAGCGAGGGCTGCGTGCCGACTCTGTCTGACACGGGTGAGTACGCGCCGGGGGCCGCTGGGCCGGCCGGGCGCGCTCGCCCGCTCGCCCGCCCGCTCGCAGCCGGGCGGTGAGCCGGCGGTGGCCGTCGCGCCGCCGCCGCTGCATGACCGCGGAGCGCGGGGCAGCGCCGGCTCGGACGCCCGTACACAAAGGCGAGCGGGGCTGTGCCCGGGAGACCCTTTCCCGGGCGGCGAGCCCCTCGGCCGGGGCGGGGCGGGGGCGGCGGGCGACTTCGAGAGAGCGGGGCGGCGAGAGGCAGGGAGCGAGGTGGGGAGGGAGAGGCGGGCGATGGGAGCCGGGCGAGCGGCCGGGGGTCGCCAGCCGCGGGGGGCGAGGGCCGCGCCGTCCCCCGCCGTAAGCCGCTTACACGGTACCTCGCCGTAGCCATCGCGGCGGCGGCGGGGCAGGCGGCGGGGCGGCCGCGGCTCCGGGCGGGCCGCGCCGCGCCGGCGGGGCGGTGGGGAGCGCGAGGAAGCGGGGCGCGGGCCGGGGCGCCGCTGGCCCCGCGGCCGCCCGGCTGTAACATGGCTGACGGCAGCCGCGAGCGAGAAAACAAGGCAAGCGGCGCGGAGCAGCAGAGGAGGCGCTCGGGCGGGCGGGGGCGCAGTTCGGGGGAACTTTTTTCTCCAGCAGCCTCCGCTCGCCCGGGCGCGGGGCCGGCAGCGCCGGGGCCGCACAGCTCGGCGAGGCGAGGGAGCGAGCGGGGGGTCCCCGCCGGGGCTCGTACCGCGCCGCCGGGGCTCGGGCAGGCACTGAGAGCGCGCTGGTCCCCCCCATCTTCTTCCCCCCCGCTCCCACCCACCTCCCCCCGTCTCCCGCCCGCCCTCCCTCGGCTGCAATGGCTGAGCGTGTGCGCCAGGGTAGCGGCGCGCTCACACAAAGGGAAGGGAGGAAGGAGCCATGTTCTCTGTGCGGCGGCGGCAGCGGGCGACGCCACAGCGGCCATTCCGCGCCGCCTGGGCTGCGCTGCCGCCGCCGCCCCCGCGGGCGGGGGTCGCCGCCCGGCCCCGCCGCGGCCCCTCTCGGCGGGGGTCCCGCCGCCCGGGCTCGCCGCCCCGCCCGGCCGCGGGGGGTGTGGTGGCGGCGGGGGGGTGGGGAGCGGCCGGCGCTGCTCCTCGGCGCACAAAATGGAAGGAGGCTCGGCGGCGGGTGACCTCCTCCGCCAGGAGCCTGCGCCATGGCGGCCGCTCCCGCCGACACCGCCGCTGCGGCGGCGCGGCCGGCAGGGAGGGAGGGAGCGCAGGCCGGGGCTGCCTCGCCTCATGGCGGCCGGAGCGGGCAGCGTCGGGCATGGGGACGCTCCCGCCGCCGCGGGGGGACGGGCGGCGGAGGGAGAACGCTTTGTCCCGCCGGGGCCGGGGGTCGCCGCCGGCGGGCAGCTGCACCCCCGTGGGTGTCTTGCTCCTGGGCATGTGCTCACCGTTGCGAGTCCTCGCCTGAACGTTGAATAAAACTTACACATGTTCTCCTAATAACGGGACTAGTTTTTTTTCTTTTATTTTTTTTTTCTTTTCCTTTTTTTTTTTTTTTCCTTTCCACCCCCAGCAGGTCTCTGGAGAGACTTCAGAAGTTTCCCTGTGCCCCCTCGCAGGGAGGTGTCCAAAATGGCGGGAAGGAGGAGGCTTTTAAACGCCAGCCCCGGGGTCGCGGTGCCGAGCCCTGCCCGGGCCGCCCCGTGTCCCCCCGGCCCGGCCGAGCCCCGCGCCCCGCCGCGCTGGGAGCGTCTGCATGGCGGGCAGGAGCGGCTCCTGCTTCTTCAGCCCTCTTGTTTACTTGGTAGAAACTTCAAACCGGACGTGTTTAGTCACAGAGCAGAAATCTGTTTCTGTCTATCCGCCAAACCGATAGGAAACACAGCTTCTGTGGCAATACGGGCAGGCACCGCCTGCCCTTTTTTTTTTTCCTTTCACGCTTTTTTTTTTTTTTTTTTTTTTTTTTTTTTTTTTTTTTTTTTTTTTTTTGTGTGGTTTCATTTTGCTCATTCAAAGTTTCT